AGCTCCAATGCCAGAGCTGTGCTGGAGGCAAAAAACCACTGTCTTTGGGGACAACCTGATGCCAATAATTATTATTATCCTTCAAAAATACATTATCATCCCAAATGAAATTGCTGTATTCCTGCCCCGAGCCCTGGTGGTAAATGAGGTTTTTGAGCCTGGCCAGGCTGTTTCTCCATGACAATTAATGGGAGCTCAAAGCCTGGGTGCTGGGCTGGTTTGCCTTCCAATGCAGCAGCAATAGGGATGGAATTTTAGCAAAAGAATAAAGTGTTTTTACAACCCCTTAAATACCTCTTCACACTCCCCCTCATTCTCCTCAGAGCTGGCCTGAAGGAGCTACAGGCTTACAAATAAATACCCCAAACAAGTACAATAACAACAGAGCCAATGTCCATCATTCCCTACCTCCTACAGTTCATATTCACATGCAAGGAGCACTCAATGCCCCAGGTCTGTGCCCTGGCCACCTCCACGGTCAGACCCCAGGCTGGGGCTCCCATCTTGCCCCAGCCCCAGGACATCTCCAGTGAGAGCAGGTGGGCTGGGAGCTGCTCTGCTCCATGGTTTTATGCTGGTCCTGTCCAGAGGGTCTTGCCGAAGATCTGCCCTAGGCACCAACAGGGCTGTGCTGCTGCCCCGTGGCACCTGTGCCATGGAAAGGCATTAGAAATGGCAGCTGGGCATGCAGAGTGTGTGTGTGGACACAAACACATCAATACAGACAGAAATGGAATGGGGGAAAGGCTCCTGTCCCCACTTTGTGCAGGGAGGGGGAGCAGAGAATGGGTTAGCAAAGCTCAACACTGCAGACAGGAAAATGGACCCTCGTCCTACCTTCCCCCTCAATCCCTCCTTCCTTCACAGTGACCAGGAGAAACAAAGGCAAAACAAACAATTTGACAGCTTGGTTTCACAAAGAAGCTGAGAATTAGTCAAGTGGTGAAGATGTTCCCATTTATAGCTAAAATGCCTGAACATGTTGCTAAATATTCATGGTCTTTATTACTTCTGCTAATCATAACAGTTCTCCTGGAGAATGAGTATCCCTACATCCTGCCCTGCAAGCTGTGCAAGACAGCAAAATACTTATATTCTCCTGAATATTACTATTAATACTTATATTCTCCTGCCTTTTATAACGGCAAAGGAAGGCAAGTTAGTGTAATTCTGTTAAATAGAACACAGAGTGTGTCAAATTTTAATGAAGGGAGAAAAATTCTTATCCTGCCATAGAAACATGAAAATAAAGAGGAAAGGGGCACTGCAATAAAGACTTTATTTGGAGTGCAGCCATTGCCATCTCCATGAGGGAACAGTCAGCATCAATCACTGTTCCTCAACACGAGCAACTGGTGGGTTTAATTCCAGAACAGGGTGGGAAATGGAGACAAACACTTCAATAACTGAACTGTGAAGAAGAGTTCAGGAATGACAATGTACTGTGAAAGTAAAACTGTAATGCTAAAAACTAAAATTCAATTCCTTTCCAGCCTTCAGGAGAGACTTGGTTTATTAACCTGAATGTGAAAGGTCGGAGCAGCGTATCACAGTTCAGAAGCAAATTAAACTGTCCAAAACAGCCCAGAGCCACCCAGTCTACTGCAACTCCCCACTGATGGAACTGTGGTAAATCCATCATGGAAGTGATCCAGGCACTCCTTGTGTTCTGAATTCTGCCATCTTTGGCATGTATCACCAGTAAAAGGTCAAAATAAGCTGTGGAAGGAGCAGGAAGCTGCAAAATGTTAAGGCCATTGATTAATTGATTGCTTAATTCCTGTGGAAAACTGCCTGAAGCAGGATGTAGCTGCAAAAAAACATTGTCTGTCTCAAAAATAGGAACAAAATCTGCTGCTCTGAAACTTGCTGCCATCATTTTTGTAAGGTATCATAAATGATCTCCTAACAGTACACACAGTCTGGGCACCTGGAGTCACACTGATGGTGGTGTTCAGCTGGGCTCCAAGTGTGGGCTTGAAATGGAATTGACTTCTGCAGTGCTGTAGGAGCAGCAAGAAATGGTCCAAGTGAGAGTTTGAAAATCCCCGTTGTTGCTGTCAGCTACACCAACTGCAGGTCCCTGCAAAGTGGAAATCCTGGAGACCACCAAGGTCCCACAGCCTGCAGGACACAGCATGGATGGGATGCAGATGTATGCAATGCAAGCATGTGGGAATGATATGGATGATATAAACCTTTATGCTCTGAAGCCCCATTAATCATGAAGTAATGAGCAGGAATTCCATTAATGGGGACACTCCCTGTACTTGCCCCTTACAGTGTCCCATAAAGCAATTGGGTTTGTCTCCAGCAGATGCATTAGATGCTCCATTCATCTGATTTTATAAAGCAATTAGTCTGGTCTCATCTGCCAAGGAGACTTTTATGGGCCTGTCACAGAGAAGTCTCTTCAAGTGACAGACTATTGTGTTGTACAAGCAGACCTGGTTCCTGCAGAGCTCAGCCTGTGGCTTTTGGGGTGTTTATTACTATTTTTGCCCTCTCAGGTCTGGCTAAGTGACAGCTGCTCTCCACTTCTACAATTTGGCACTACTGAACTGAGCAGCATCAGCCAGTGTGGGCTGCTGGGGGAGTGAAACATCAATCAAGGACCAAGTGCATTAATTCAGCCCTTTTTACCAGGGCAAACAACAAAACACCAGGGATGGGGAGCAGGGCAAGAGGTGCTTTTGATCTGCTGCCTGTGGAGGCTCCATGTGAGCTCCCGAGGGAGGGCTGGCTCCAGCTCAGCCCCAGGCACAGCACCCACACCTCTGCCTGCTCTGGCTGCTCCCTCCCAGCACTGCTCAGAGCAGCCTTGGGTACCTGCTGCTGGCCCCCTGCCCCATCCCATCAGGGACCCCAAAGAACATCAGCCCTGCTGCAGTGCAGAAACCCAGCATCTGCAGCACATCTGGGCAAGGAGACACCTCCAACGTACCTGCTCAGCTCAGACTGGGCTGAGCCAAGCTCTGGGAGTGCTCTGGTATCACCTCAGGGGAGCAGTTTGGGAGCAGACCCTGGAACTGGGGTGGGGATCCCTGCTGAGCACCGGTGGGACGGGGCAGCTTGTGAAATGCCATTAGTCTGCAAACCAAGCGCTGTCTGCAGCCCATGCCTGGTGCTAAACCTGTCCTCACTTGCTGCTATTCCTGCCTGGGCTCCTGCAAAGCCTGGGAGATCAGACACGTTCCTCTGCCCACCGCAGAGCAGGGGTGGTGCGGGAGGAGGCAGTGGGGGAGAGCCGGCGGGGTCTGTGGGGACAGGTGAGTCCTCTGGGGGGCAGGTGGGCTCTGTGGGGGCTGGTGGCATCCTTGGGGGGCAGGCAGGTTGTCTCCACAGTCAGTGAGAGAGCAGAGCTGTGTTCCTGGCTCCAGGGAGAGCCTTTGCTGCTGCCTGGGGCACAGGGCGGCTGCACATCCTCTCCCACGCGGGAATTCGGGGTGTGCCTTCACATCCAGTCTCCCAGGTAAGGGCCAGGCTCCTTCCTCCCTCTTCCTCCCCTGCTCTGTGATTGACTTAAGATGCTCTCAGTGCAGGATGATGGTTTGACACTGGCCCACCTACACCTCAACATCCAGGGCTTAAGCCGGATTTAACTGAGGACATTCCCCCTTATCCCTGCAGCATGCTTTGGCCAGCCCCTCCGCGCTGTTTTCCACTTGAAGAGCTAAGTGATGATAATTGTATTCTGTTTCTCCTTCCTGAGCTAATTTTCTGACTCATTGTGGGGGTTTTTCTGCTAGCTTTTTGTTAATCTAGTTGGCATGTTGTGGTTTCTTTGTTCATTATGTGGTGGGGCTATATAAGAGGATTTGTCTCTGGAATTCAGGTATCCCCTGCGCTGCGTTCCCTGTTATCGTCTTCATCAGCAACTCTGCTGAAGGCACTCTGCTGCATTTGGCATGAGCTAACCTTAATAAATTCGGGCTGTTAATCACTCAGACATGTCTCGCTGGATCTTTGCACGCTGATTTGTGTGTGCTCAAATAGTTTTCCCGGGAGTAGACTTGTGGTGACTCAGTGTTTCAGCCATTTGCCCTCCAAACTCTCCCTCGTGGTTCTGCCTCCCGGGGGGCTTTGCCTGCTGAGGGCACCGATGGGGAGGGGTGTCCTGATGGCAGAGGATTCTCCTGGCACCCTGCACTCCCGCGGGGTCCCAGGCTGGTGTCTGCAGGCAGCAAAGTGCTCTGTGCTGCTGCTGCTGCTGCTGCTGCCCCAGCAGCCCTGTCCAGCCAGGGCTGAGCACAGCCTGGCTCCTGTCCCTGGGAGCTCTCCTGGGATCCCGGCGCTGCTCAGGATGACATTTCCACAGGTGCCCGGCGGGATGGAGACAGATTGAGGAATGTTTATAAGGAATGTTTAAGCAGCTATTTACGTGCTGAGTTGACTCAGACCCAGCAGAAGCTGAATTTCAGAGATTCCCTTTTCCAGAGCTTGGCTTGGAGTCCAGCAGAGATGCAGGCTCCTGCCCTCCAGGCACTGATCAAACAACACTCAAGTTACACTTTTTTTATATATATTGTGCATTCTATGTTTGCCTGAGAGCTGCTGGGAGCCAGGGCATCCTCAAGTGATACAACAGGAACCTTGAGGCACTGGATGAAGTGTGTGAAGCTCTGAATCTCACTCAGGCATTGATAATTATCAGTCCAGAGAGCTGAGCCATTACAGAGATTCGATACAGTCAGCTCGTAGATCCTGCCCATTTAGGGGAGAAAAATTCAGCAACGAGGAGATGCTGCGATTGATAGATCCAAGGAAAACCAGCCAGGTTATTTCTGACAGCAAGAGATAGATAACTACAGGGATTAGCAGAAGATCAAGGGAGTGTGGAGAGACCCCTTCTTTGGAGTAAGGGCTTGGACTCCTCCAGAAAAAGGTTATTCAGCCATTTAAAGAAAGAAAGGAAGGAAAACAAACCTAATAAATAGTAAAGACAATACATGGCAGTTTGAGAGCTGCTCACCAAAAGCTAGTGAGGAATGAGGAACAGTAAGAAAAGATAGCTTCTTTTACTAATTAAATGAGGCGATGCTTATTAATTAGAGATTATCTTAATGTTTTGAGAAACTCACAGTGATGGTTTTTGACTGAAAACAAACCCTTCTGTACACTGAGGGAGCACAGCGCTGGCAACCAGCACAGACAGCTTTGAATTCCCATGTTCAATAATTGTGAGCTCCAAGCAAAGTGCCTCAGGGATGAAGTATTCACCCACTCCTGCTGCCACTCCTCGTGTTCTGCTGTTTTCTTCTGGTGCAGGCACTGCAGTGCACACCCAAAGTGCCCAGCTGGGGTCAAGTGGCCTGAAGCAAGGATCCCCCTCCTTTCTGTCCTTTTCCTTCCCACTGCAAAAATGGAAAATAACAAAAAAGCCCCATAAAAATCAGTCCTTAGTTTCCCTTCTTTGGTCTGGTTTATTCTCCCCTGGGAAGGTGCTGGGAGTGTGTCCTTATTCCCTCAAGCCACCCAGGTCTCCACTGCCTCTCTGGGCTGCAGATCTGTCTGGGCCATCACCAGGGCAGTCCAGGAGCCCCCCAGCAGACACAGCTGCCCTTGGGCTACTGAAATCCATCACCTGGTTTGCACCAACGAGACAGCCCCAGAGTCCTTGGCTGCTCCTCACAGGACATCCCTTCTGGCCCTTTCTTGCCCTCCTGTTGTTTAAATGAGACTTTTACAGCAACTAGCAACAATGCAGAATGATTCCATTCTTCAGTGAGTGAATGCTACAGCCCTGATGAAATATTTTGTGGCCTTTTATAAAGTGCTAGTGTAGCTCTCTTAACTGAATTAATATATTTATAATAAAAAGAACTTCTCAGTGAACTACATTCATCTGTCATTGTGCCATCTGAGCCTGCAGCCATGGCTCCTGGGGTGCATCCCTGCTCCCCTTGTCTGGGGCTGGCATCCAGCTGCTGTGGGTGGGACAGAGACAGGGCAGGAGGAGCAGCAGAATCTGAGAGAAAATTGCTGTCAACAATCCTTACCTCTGCTGGAGGCTTTGCTATACGCTAACTGGTGAGGCTCCCTGTGGATGGAGTTCATCTGCATGTCCAAGTCCTTCCTTCAGACACCAGTGTCATCATGGATTTGTTTCTGCTGCCGTGCAGAGCCCCACATTATGGCACATATTACAGCCAGTGACAGAAACCTGGGTCCACTCCCTCTGATAGCAATAAATGGGAAAACCTGAAAGGAGATCACGATGTCTGAGAAGCTCCATGTCCCCTGTACATATTTCTGCCCCCGGGCCAGCTGCAGTGTGGGTTTTACTGGTGCTGGAGAGCTTGTGTGCCCACCATGCCAAGCAGAGGAGGGGCTATAGTAAGACAAGCCAAAAAATCAGCAGTAAAACAACAGAGCAGCAATGCTGGCTCCTGAGGAGAGCCTGGGAGATGCCCTTTGGTGCCTCCCACAACCAGGTAACTCCCTCAGCTCACAGGTCCGTGCTGGCCATCGGGAGGTTCCTGGTGGAGCAGCTGGCCTGGGGGGCCAGTCCTTTCCTGCACCTGGCCTGCTCCAGCCACGCCTCACGGCAGGACATGGCCCTGGGTGGCAGTGCCCGCTCCCGAGGCTGTGGCACCCTCTGGCAGACGCAGAGCAGGGAGCGCAGCCCCGCGCGGAAGCTCTCGTTCAGCCAGCAGTAGATGAAGGGGTTGTAGCAGGTGCTGCTCATGGCGAACCAGTGCAGCGCGAAGTAGAGCGAGTTCTTGGTCCTGATGCCCAGACTGGAGATCAGCACCACGTAGCAGTTCAGGGGGAACCAGCAGACTGCAAAGACCACCACCACCAGCATCAGCATCTTGATGCTCTTCTTCTTGTTCCTGAGGTGGGTGACATACTGCTGCATGGTGACGTCCCCGATGGCATTGCGCAGCCACAGCTTCTTGGCCAGGCGCATGTAGGTGACAGTGATGATCAGCAGGGGCAGGAGGTAAAGAAGGAGGAAGGTAGACAGGTCCAGATACTTCCAGACCAACTCTGCAGGCTCGGGGAAGTCAGGGAGGCACAGACTCCGGACGGTGGCTTCCCTTGAAAACAGGAAATACAGATATGGCACGTGGCCACTGCTGTCCCATGGGTGCTGCTGGCTCGGCAAACCACACTGCCCACAGCCACCTGCTCAGAGGTTCAGTGTGGACAGAGGGAGGACACAGAGCCACAGCTCTGGCCTGTCTCTCTCAGGTTGGACCTGCAGCCCCTGCCTTCCACGGCAGCACCCACCCTGCTGTGTCCCCCAGCAGCCAGGACCCCTTGCCCTGCCACAGCCCCCAGCACAGGATCCCTCAGCCAGAGCCACTGCAGCAGCTCTAAGCCAAAGCTGTTCTAGAGGGGAGGGAAGGGCTGGAGGCTGTGAGAAAGCCTCAAAGGCATGACAAGCCCACCTCACTTCCCTTCCCTACCTACCATTCCCTTGCCATCAGCTCCTACAACCTTCCTGCTACCTCTTAAAACTGGTGTGATGATTATTCACTTGGCTCCAGTTGAACCACTGACAATGAACTAACAAAAGAAAGTGTAACTATACACAACAGCTCATTTTAACAACCTCTCACACCTGTCCCATCCCATCCAGCCCCAGGATCCGGGTGTGTTCCACTGCCTGGCCAGCACTGGCTCTCATCCCATCACCCTTCACTGCACCGTGTGTCCCCTCCACACCCTGCAGCTGGTGTAATGGAATTTATTTCCAGTGGATGTTTTCTCCTTTTCTTTCTTTTCCCCTCTCTTTTTCTTTCTCATATTCCATTTTACTCTTCTCTCTTCATCCCTTGTTCTCCTCTATTCAGCGCAGATTTTAGCTCCCATCAAGCTGTACTATTCACTGCAGTATTGATTAATATCTTTAATATCCTGTTTTCAACTGCTGGAGCTGCCTTTTGTGCCACAAATAGGAGGTTGCTGAGAACAGGCAGCTGGAGCAGGGGATGAGGTCAGAGCAGTGACAATGGGTCCACTGAGTACGGAGGACCTGGAGATGCCACTCGAGATGGGAACTGACGCAGAAGGGAGAATTGTCTTTTCTGAACTGCAGTCTTGGCTTTTCCTCCCCTGGATCTGGGGGACCTCACCACTGGCACAGGGCAGCTGCCTAAGGAGATCTGACAGGACAGTGTTTTGGTGAATTCTGATATGACCAGGGACTCAGGTGGCTGCTGTGCAGTGCAGCCAGAGATGGATGTTGGTGGAGCCCCTGTTTCCCATCCCAGAACCCAAACCTGGTAGCAATCCCAGGAGCCCTGACCCTGCAGGAGCTATTACAAGCAATATTACAACTATGATTTTTTTTTTTTTTTCAATGGAAAGCAGGGACAGGAATAGCATGTCCTGGAAGTCCTTATATTGCTGAGCTGCCTCATGCCAGCAAAGGGCTCAGTTTCCTCTGGCCATGCCAAAGGATGAGCAGAGACAGGTGCCCCGAAACAAATCGTAGGGTTCCTTCATTCATGAGCAATTCACTCCCTAATCCCCAAGCACAGCTGCAGAGCAACGCAAGCACAGAGTAGCCCTGCCCTGTGTTTACAGTCTGCACAGCTATGGGTATGATATCCCCTGGCTATGTCAGCCACATCAGGCACAAGCACAGGGCTGTGAAGCCCCCATCCCACTTCCAGCTCTCGCAGCCCCTCAGACACCAAAACAGTGACAGCCTAGGCAGGCACTCACACCCCCTGCCTCATCAACAGGAGGGATCTGGCTGGGCTGCAGGAAATCAGATTTGTCCTTTCTACAAAAGGTCAATGTCTACAATAGAAATCTCATTCCTACTGCCTGTCAGTGTCTTCTTGCCCCACTCCCTGGGATGCTGATCTCAGCCTGAAAATACAGGTCATGGTAAGATTATCCCCTTGGCCTCAAGGCTGGCATTCCTGCGAAGGGCAGCACCAGCAGCATGACACCTGCCACAAAAATCCCACTTGGGTACTGTTACAGACTGTTTTCTAGACAAGAGAGGTCACAGCAATGCCACAGGCTGGTGGGGACAGGAGGGACAGAACAGGTTGGGTACCACAGAGGAAAGGACTGCAAGGGAAAAGCGCCCCAGAGTTTGGGTTTTGTATTTCTCCCTGGCAGAGGATGACAGCAGAGACAAGTGCCATTGCTGGGCCTTTTGTGAGGAGATAAATTTCTGCTTTTAATTTTTTTTCTTTTTCTTTCTTTCCCTCTACATTAGAACTTTCTCTTTTTTTCTGGTATTTCACTCCTTATGTTGATGTGAAACTTCACTTCCTCTGCAGTCATTGTGTTCAGCCAAGCAAAGAGCTCCCTTTCCTGAGGAGAGGCACCATGGCACACCAGGACAGCTCAGGTTCCTGCCAAAGCACTGGTTCCTCACCTGTCCCACACTGGTCCCCCACAGCCCTGCTTCATGAAGAATGTATGTTCTCTATGTTTTCCTCATTAGTGTTACACTGGACAGAAGAACCTCAAGCTTCAGGGAAGGCTGGTCCTGCTTTGTAAATCCACATGGATGAAATACAGGGAAGTCACAACCTGAGACTCAGTGTAGGAAATCCTGGGGAAGAGGGATCAGTAAACCAGGGTGGTCCCCTGCTCCTGCTCCCTGCAGAGCCTTGGTGATGTCAGCACAGGTATTCCCAACAGGAAGTTTATTTTCTTTCTTTTTGAAACTGCAGTTTGACTCTCTCTCCCCTCCCTGCCTGGCTGAGTTGGATGGGCTTGGTCTTGCTGGGTCTGAGGAGCTGGGCAGGCAAAAGGAGGGAAGAGGAAAGTCCCTCAGGAGAAAGTTGCCTTCTCAGGACAGAGCCTCTCCTGGCAAGGCCATGGCACTGGAGGAGGTGTGTGTTGCCAGCAGCTGTACCCCAGCCAGGCTGTGCCTGGGACTGCCCCAGCACGTGGCTGGGAGTGGGACCCAGAGCCTCATCTGGGTACGCAGGAGGTGGTGAGAGCAAACCCTGACAGCAGGCCAGGCACAGTGCAGGCCAGGCAGCTCTTCCACAGCCCCAGCCTCTGCTGGCAGAACTGGGATGTCACCCATACAGCAACTGCCTCTCATCCCACATCAGCCATCCGGTGCCTGGAACGCTCAGGTGTCCTCCCTGCTGAGCAAGGCGCTGCACAAGGGCTGCCAGACCTCCACACGCTCCCTGGGAAGGGGAGATCACTCACCTGTAGTTATACTGGAAAAGCTTTTGATAGACAGCATGGGGCAGGGAGAAACAGGTTGCCATCAGCCAGATGACAGAGATGCTCAGAGCTCCCTTTGTCAGGGACATCCTCTGCTTCAGTGGGTTCAGGATGACCTGCAACAGAGACTCATCATGACTCCTCCCATAGGAGGAAGCAAAAGCCCTCACAGCCCACAAGAGGAGTGGGCAGTTTGTGACATAACCTAACACAGCTAATGATAGGAAAATGACAGCCATGATTAGGAAAATGTCCTGTTCATTAGAGTGACCTGGAAAATGGGAAACGTTGAACTTCTCAGCCTGCTCAGAAGAGCTTTCAAACTTTATCCTCAATCTTGTTATGTGAGAACTGTTTTCCTTAAGCTGGAGGTTACATTAGGTCAAAAAAAACCAAAAACCAAAGGAAGATATCTACCCAAGTGTCTTCACTCAAGACTATGTTTTTTTATTCTATATGAACTACATAAGAAACGTCTCTTGTTCCAGCTGGGCCTGTGAAGCTGAGCTGTCCTCCCCTCTGCTGAGGCAGAAATTCACCTCTCATGAAATTTTCTTTGTTAGATCTTCAAGCTGATAAAATCTGATAGTCTGGAACCTACTATTTGACAATAGCACATGAAAGGGGAGTGATTTCTGGGGACAAGCACAAGGCCTGGGCTGTCCTTGCTGCCCTGCACTGGACACAGAGCCAGAATTTGTCATGGCCAGGGACAGAAAAACTTATCATAGCTCAAGTCTCCTCCCAGAGCCTTGGAGGAAGAGGGGGGGGCAGGCAGTGTCACCTGGTGCCTGTCGAGGGCGATGGCTGTCAGGGTCAGTGTGGACACGTGGAGGGAGCAGTACTGCACAAAGCGGCTGATGTGGCACATGGCCTTCCCAAAAATCCACGTGCTGTTCACAAAGCGGACCTGAGGGGAAACAACAGCTCATCAGCCAGAAAATGTGCTGAAAACAAATCCATGGGGGTCTGGTTTGTTTTCCAATAACTCCTGCAGCTGGAACCTGAGCTGGCTCAGGAGGTCTGGCTGGTTGGGCAGCTTCACCTGGAACTTACAGAAAGATCAGCTATCCTGGTCTCTGCAACACCTTCACAGAAGAGTTTATAGGGTCAAGCCCCACT